GGCAGTGTGAGGATTTGAGCGACATTGACAAGGGCCAAGTTGTGATGGCTAGACGACTGGGTCAGAGCATCTCCAAACCTGCAGCTCTTGTGGGGTGTTCCCGGTCTGCAGTGGTCAGTACCTATCAAAAGTGGTCCAAGGAGGGAACATTATGACCACCAGGGTTCCCAGGTGGTCATAATGTTATGGCTGATCGGTGTATCATCCATAACTTGTGACATTGCCTGAAGTTTAATCAAGTGCAGGATTTCTATTTCCCCCAGACAGAAATATAAAGTCTAGAGTCAGAAGCAACAGATCTGAAATAGATAGTTCATGTTTCCACGTCAGTAAGGGAAGATCAGATTTTCTGTGGTCAAAACAAAAGAAAAGTGTTTTATCCCTGGTTTTCACTGCCTGACACTTTTTTCTTTTTATTTTACTCCAGCAGACAATTGCTGTGACCTTTTGAGGAATATTACACTGCGGAGAGGAAAGAGTCACGGTGGCTATGACTGAATGTAGCTTTGATTGGAGGAGAGGGACCAGGTAAAGATACGGTAAGGCGAGGAAAATGAGAACTGGGGGCTGAGACAGAGAGAGAATCACCTTGTGTCTTTCCTGTCTGATCACAAGCACAGCGGCATATTGTGGTTCTGACATTTTCTTTCAGACATCTCATCCATCTTTTGGGTTTTTGTCATCTGCCGGCAGCAATTGTTTTTGGAAGATTTGCGTCAAATAAGAAGATAAATAGCTTGCAGAGTATTAACACTAGTTGCATATAGAGGATATATATATATATATATATAAATAAAGGGGAAAAAAACAGAAGATGCAAGTTAATTAGAGATAAATAAATAAGGGTGGAACTGCTAATATTATAAAAGACACATTGTTGATCTCCCTGGGTCTTTTGTGAAAAAAAAAAAATTAAAGGGAAATGTATTTGTGATAAGTAGGTAAGTATTGTTTCTGTAACACAGTGACTATTCAATGTCAAAGCAAAGGAAATACTCAAAGAAAAAGAGTGAAGATCATCCCAGATGCAACAATCAACATCATCAGTGGATGCAAATAAAATTTGGCCTGACTGTGGTCCTATATGAAAGGTCATATTCACCAAAACCAATGCATTTCTTCTTGTAGGTGGTGTGAATGGGAACACCATTTTTTTGGGTCTCTATGACAGTCAGGTCAGGAGAAACACTCATTACAGAAGTGAAAAGTGGAGTGAAGGTCACACTATCAATGAAATCAATTGGTTTCTTTCTCTTGGGAGTGTGAATGTGTACTTTCTCGATATTGGTCACAGTAAAGTAAACAACCAATTGACAGAGGTGAAAACATGCTGTAACTTTCTTTTTCTTTTGTTTTCTCTCTTTGTTATCACTCAGGGGATTAGAATAACAATAACAGTATTTTTTATGTTATTTCTATGGTTCCTTTTTCACCAGCTCCTTTAGCACTTCATAAAATATATTTTTATGACATTATATTATATTATTTTCTGGGTATTTATTATCTTATGTTTGGTACTGAGCAGCAGTGGGTGATGAATATCATGTAATAGCTATGATTGTTTTTAGATTAATTAATTTAACCTTGAACCTTGTTTGGCAGGTGTAATGGCATATTTGGCATATTACACATGTATAGTAAGACTACAAACAGATGCACTTAGGAAAATTATTGTTATACGTAAGACAAAACTGTTGAAATTATCCTCTATGAAAAATATATGCTGTATACTGTTTAATAATGGTCTGTTTGGTGTATGGTTCAATTACACGCATTTAACCCACTCCAGCAGTTTGTCTGGGAACCTGCAGCAGATAAGAGTTAATGTCCGTCATCTTGAATCAACCAATACAATCTGCTAAACTTGTCCCAGTGGGCGGCGACCCCTGTGACCCCTCACTGCTGAACCCCTTCACCCTTGCAGGTGAGCAGGTCACACACTCAGCAGGAAATGTGCTCGCCCGCTGTGGAAGGTCAAATGCAGAAATATGTGTGTGAGAGAGAGAGAGTGAGAGTGTGTGTATGTGTGTATAATTGTCACATGTGACCTCAGTGCATCAGTTGTCCTGTGGTAATGAGGTATGAGGTGTCAGTGGGGTCACAGCAGTCCTGTGGGGGGAGGTCAAGGTTAACTCACTGACCTCTTTAACAGTGTTGACTAACAGCATTAACGTCAGCACTGATGCAGTTTGGTCACATGGGTTCACTGACATGATTAAACGAAGTGGATAAAAGTTAGTGTTGCTGTGTGTGTGCACAGATAGCCACTGTTAAGGTCATACTGTTAACTGGAAAAAGAGTTTGAAACTAGACTAATGGTTTTTCTTTATGCGCAGTATATGGAAGAAATAGTTTTCTTTGTATTTAAAGACAATCTGGAGTCACAAAGAGATTTTCTTGACTTTTGTTTTTTGTTAATCTTGCATGATGTGCTTCTCTCTGTTCAAATCAGGTTAAATAGATACTAGTATACAGTATAAGTAACCTGTTCTCCAGCACAAATGGAGTAACCTTGAGTGCATCTCTTCCTTGCAGAGACATATTTGGCTATG